TTCAAGTGTGTGAAGGGACCAGAGGAGGAGAGCGTTGGTTGAAGAGGAGAGGCGCCGATTTCACTCGTTGGTGGCAGCCTCATGTATGCGCGGTAAACCCCACCGGGACTTACGTCGTTTTTGCTACCGGGCAGCTGGCTAGGGTTGTGCAATGCCCTAATGAGGAGCAGGTAGCAGCTGGAATGAGGGTGGCCAAGTATCTGGCCAAAAACCGACCGTTGGGCTGCAATACTCGGCGGCGGCACAAAGGCGCCAAAGGGCGCGGATGGTGTTGAACCCGGCGTTTGTTCCTCACCGCCTACTCGGATGCTTCATATGCATCAGAACCAGAGGACATGACAAGTGGGGAGGCTTCATATGCTGTGTTGGTGGAGGCCCAACTGCTTGGGAGAGCAGGAAGCAGGTTGACCAAGCTTTGAGCTCGGTGGAGTCCGAGTACATGGCACTCTTCCGTGCCGTACGAGAGATTGTGTGGCAGCGGGCGTTTGTTGGCTGAATTGGGGGAGGAGCAGCAAGGACCTACCCACTGTACTGTGACAGCCAGGGTGCCATTGCTCTTGCTAAGAACCCTGTGTTGCATGGACTCACGAAGCACATGAGGGTGAAGTGGCATTGGACGAGGAGCATGGTAACGCGGGTGAAGTTGAGTTGCTCTACGTGAAGACCACGGGGCAGCCGGCTGACATGATGACCAAGAGGCTGGTGGAGCAGCAGCATTGGAAGTGTTGCAAGCTGGCTGGGATGGCTCTGAACTGAGAGAGCAACATATCCTAAGACCAACAATCCGAGGGGGAGTTTGTTGGTGCAACCCTACGGTTTGCACTCGGCTTGTTGTCCGTGTGCGTGAATGTGTGTGTGTATGGAATGGTATGAGGGCATGGGATAATATATATTTCATGCTTATAATTGTGTGTGAATGTTGAGTCATGATGTCGAGTGTGTGTGTCGAGTCAATAGCGAGTTATCGCTAGACGCGTGTTACGCGGTCGTTTGTGTCTCGCGCGCGGTTTCTATTTTGTCGTGCGCGGTTTCTATTTTGTCCTGTGTCGAACGTTCGGCGTGTCGCAGGTGTGTGCAGCAGACCCATCAAGAACTCAAGGATGAGTTTGTGATGAAGAGCCCGAGCCTTGGTGTCAAGCCTCAAGTGATTTCGAAGCTCGCCAAAAAGGGTACACCTCAAGATATTGAAGATAGTTACATTACTTTGTGTAGTGTAACATTTCACTTGGTGTAGGCCCTAGTGAAGGGTAGTTTCGAGACCCTTCGTGGTTGGGGACAGTGTGGCACTGTTCCCATCACTGTACCTCGGCTCTTGGTTTGTAGGAGCTGGGAGTCATTCCCAACTCGTAACTCTTCCTATCTTGTGTTCTAAGCTATAGTGGCTGCCATAGTACCGTTCGTTCAAACCGACGCTGTGTCGTCAATTCTTTATCAAAACGTGCAATCTAATTGCTAATTGTAGACGACGTGAGGACGCTCCAGATCCAATTTGAATCAAGTCATTTGCAGCTGTGATCAGAACGCTATCAACGTTTGAAGCCGCTTGCAGAAATCCGTCTGTGCTCTCTATCTTTCGTTTTAGGCACATTCAAGCCTATTGGACTATAACAGTAGCGACCTCATGGAGCTGAGGGCGGAAGTGCTGTCGCTGCTGCGCCTGCAGGAGGGGAGGGGGAACGGGGGGGGAAAGAACAGGGGGCAGGGGAGCGGGAAGGGGGGGAATGCGGAGCAGGCAGCGCGGATGGGGAGCGGGAGGAGCTGGCGTTCGTACGGTTGTACGAGGTGGTGGTTGAAACGGGGACGGCGTTACATCTCATCCTGGAATACTGCCAGGGTGGCGATCTGTTTGACCTCGTTATAAGGCAGAAGCGACTTACCGAAGCACAAGCCGCCTCGGTATTCAGGTATTTATACGCTACGCATACGCTGGCGCATGTATGTAGCCGGCGCATACGCTCCCTCATTCTTCGCTACCACCGCCCTTTGCCTCTGCACCAACGATCTATTTGACCTCGTTATAAAGCAGGAACGAGTGAACGAAGCACAACTTGCAGCTCCGTTCAGGTGCACGCCCATCCCACAAAACCCCTTTATGTCCTCTAAACCCGCCCTTTCTTCATCAACCAACATCCCACCGCCTCAAACAAGAGAATACAGGCATAATTGGGTTGAGGGGTAACGAACGGCGTTCTGTTGAGGGCTACCTACTTTCCCCATTCATCCTTCTCCTCTTCCACACCATCCCCCCCCCCTCCCTTTCTTTCCCCCGTCCCATCCCCCCGCCCACGTCGTGAGTGCATGATTTCGCCGTTGTTCATGCCCTGTGTTGTTTCCGCCCCTGCCAGAGGGCATGTCAGGAGTACCGAATCTCAACCACAGGGCATGTCAGGAGTACCGAATCTCAACCACAGGGCATGTCAGGAGTACCGAATCTCAACCACAGGGCATGTCAGGAGTACCGAATCTCACCACAGGGCATGTCAGGAGTACCGAATCTCAACCACAGGGCATGTCAAGAGTACCGATTCTCAACCACAGGGCATGTCAGGAGTACCGATTCTCAACCACAGGGCATGTCAGGAGTACCGATTCTCAACCACCTCACACCCCCACGCACCACTGCCTTGCGGAGACCATTCTGACTGCTGGATTCTCAGTTGCTCCATGCCTTCTTGCCTCCTCCTTGCCTCCTATTCCCCATGCTGTCCCCTCTCAGGCAGTTGCTGCTGGCAGTGCACGCCATGCATCGCATGGGCATAGTGCACCGCGACCTCAAGCCAGAGAACATACTCCTTAGTAGCGGCCCCGGTGCTTGTAGAGGCCGTTGCACTGTAGCTGAGTGCAACTGCAGTGAAGATGGGGGTAGTGATGCCAGCGTTGACAGTAGAATCAGTGGGAACTGCAGTGGGGGGAACAGCAGCACCAGCTAGGGATGTTCCCATTGCAGGGAAGATTTCAAGACTGATACGACTTGCAGTGGTGACACGCCTCCCTCGTTACAGTCACTTAAAGATTCCATAAGTTCAGTCCCGTCTTCTGCTAGACATAGCAGCAGCAGCACAAGCACTGGGAGGAGGAGCAGCAGCAGCAGTAACGGCACAGGGAGCAGCATAAGGGAAACTTCTTTGCAGTCTTCGCCCTCACCTACTCTCCCAGCATCCTCTCCCTTCCTCCCGCTTCCCTCACCACCTCCCTCCCCTGCTCTCCCTCCATCATCTCCCTCCCCTGCTCTCCCTCCATCATCTCCCTCCCCTGCTCTCCCTCCATCATCTCCCTCCCCTGCTCTCCCTCCATCATCTCCCTCCCCTGCTCTCCCTCCATCATCTCCCTCCCCTGCTCTCCCTCCATCATCTCCCTCCCCTGCTCTCCCTCCATCATCTCCTTTCCACCTCTCACGAAACTCCCACCCACCATCCCCCTCTCTCGCCTCCCATCCCTCCTCCCCCTGTCTTTCTCTTCCACCCTCTTCCCCCACCGCTTCCCTTTCTCCTCTTGCACCTCCTCCACCTCCTTTTCCTCCTCTCTGCTCGTCCCCTCCTCCCTCTCCGGTCACCACGGCAGCCAGCCCCCCTGTGTGTCCCTGCACGGCAATGAGAGTCAACGTGGCTGATTTCGGTCTGGCAGCAACGCCCTCTTCTCCCACCACTACTCCTCCTCGTACCATCACGGCAACCAGCCCCCCTCCCTGTCCCTGCACGGGCATTCAAGTCAAGGTGGCGGATTTCGGGCTGGCAGCGACGCTGTCGCGCGGGCAGACAGCGGCGTGTGGGGTGGTGGGCTCGCCCTTGTACATGGCGCCTGATATCATCCGCGGGAGGCCCTATGCGGGGAGGTCGACATGTGGAGCCTCGGCTGCGTTCTCTACACCTGCCTGTCGGGTACGTTGCAATTTATACACATGGTATGGTAATCTGGTTGTCTGGTTCTTGCCGGTGAGATCACACAAGAACCCCCTTTTCAAGAAGCTGGTGAGAAGGACATGTGAAGGTGCTGCCTGCTGCACATCCCTCACAATATTCGCATCTTACCGCTGAATGTGTTTGCCATCTTTCAATCCCACTAACATTTCAGGTACTGTGCCTTTTCACGGGAGGACTCACCGTGAGGTTTTCGCTTCGGTGTTAGGTTCGGCGCCGGACTTGAAAGGCGAGGTATGGGAGGGCATTTCGAGGGAGGCTAAGCAGCTGTTAAGGTGTCTGCTTGTAACGGATCCTGGGCGAAGGCTCAAGGCTCATGAGGTGCTGAATCACCCGTGGGTCAGAGCAGCGTGTGGAGGCGAGTGTGGGCGCCACGAGAGGGAGTGGGGGAAGGAAAAGACGAGGGAGAACGGAGAGGGAGTGGTGCGGGAGGGGGGTAGTAAGACTGACTGCAGGGGCGGAACGGGTGAACGCAGGAGTGGGAAGGGTCTTACAGCAGAGGGAAGGTGAGTGGTGGAGTGGTGCATGTGGAAAAGGCGTGGTTGGAAACGCATCCAAAGGACGGCGCGAATGGGCAGCATGTGGTGGGTGTGCGGAGTGCTGCGCTGGGTGCTGCGCTGGGTGCCATCGTCAAGCAAACCCCACACTTGCTGTCAGAGCCGCAGTGCCGATGCTGCTGGCAGGCTAGCTGTGCAGGAGAAGGTGGGTGAGAGTGCAAGCAGGAGTGAGAGTTCACCAGAGGTGGAGCAGGTGCACAGGCTGACCACGGGTGTAGCAGTGGGACAAGTGTCAGCGCTACGGCGCGTCACGTTTCCTTGCCTTTCAACCCAGAGCCACCGGAACAGAGCACACGCCATAGTGAGGCAGCCGTGAGAGGGGAGGTCGAAGGACAGGAAGCGTGCTGGGAAGCAACAGTGCAGGATTTCATGAGAGAGGTGCACGTGGTTAAGGCATGTGTGAAAATCCACGGAGTGGAAGGCGAGGTTGGGCAGCATGAGGTGGGGCATGAGGTGGGTTGTCCTGATTGCCACCCAAGCAGTCCCAACAGTCTCTGCAAAAGCAGCCATGCTGATGCGTGCTGTCAGAGCAGCAGTGCCAGTGCTGCTGGCAGGCTAGCTACTCAGGAGATGGTGCGTGGGAGTGAATGCAGGCGCGAGGAAACAGGAGAAGAGGGGAAAATGGCTGGGCTGACCAGGGGGAGTGGGAGTGGGAGCAGGAGGAGAAGCATTGGCACTGAGGCGAGTCACACTCACACCTCCTCGCCTTTCAATCCAAACCTACAGGAAGAGAGCAGACGTGGGACTCACCGTAGAGGTGGAGAGGAGGTGGAGGGTAAGGAGGCGTGTTTGAAAGCATCAGTGCATGAATGTGCTGCGCAGCGGTGCAGTGAGGCTGCAGAGGTAGACATCTGCTCTCCAGGTGGTGCTTGGGGTGCTGGCTGCTGTGGGAGTATCGGTCCCACTGACTGTAGCACCGTTGATTGTAACACTGCTGACTGTAACACAGCCTACTGTATTACCGCTGAATGTAGTCCCACTGACTGTAGCACCACTGACTGTAGCACCACTGACTGTAGCACCACTGACTGGAGCACCACTGACTGTAGTCCCACTGACTGTAGCACCACTGACTGTAGCACCACTGACTGTAGCACCACTGACTGGAGCACCACTGACTGTAGCACCACTGACTGTCGCACCACTGACTGTAGCACCACTGACTGTAGCAGTGGTTGCAGTGGGGTTGGTGAGACTACATTGACTGGTAACAGTGGTGCTGGCAGTGGCAGCAGTGACGCTGGTGGTGGTGGCTTTTATTACAGCTGCAGTTGTTATGACAGTGGTGACAGCTGCAGCAATGACAGCAATTCAAAGAGTAGATGCATTGGCAGCAGCAATAGCAGCAGTCACTGCCTATGTACCAAGAGTGCAAGAAGTGATATTGGTGATGGAAGAAGCCCCATTTGCTGCAAGGGCGGGGAGACAGTGGCTGCAGTCACAGTCGCCTTGCTTGGAGGATGAGTGGCAAGATGTTTACGTGCTATGGCAGCGGAGGTAATAGTGGTGGTGGCAGTGGCAGTGGTGGTGGCATTGGCAGTGGTGGTGGCATTGGCAGTGGTGGTGGCATTGGCAGTGGTGGTGGCAGTGGCAGTGGTGGTGGCATTGGCAGTGGTGGTGGCATTGGCAGTGGTGGTGGCAGTGGCAGTGGTGGTGGCAGTGGCAGTGGTGGTGGCAGTGGCAGTGGTGGTGGCATCAGTGGTAATGGTGGTTTCAGCATGATGCACCAGATACAGCTGTCAAGTAGTGTGGGTGTACTCTCAAGTTTCTTTTCTCTCTTCTGTGCTTGTGGTTGCAGCCAGTGGCCATGGGTTGCCATGTGGTTACAGATAGCAAGTTGTGTGTGTGTAACATTTGTACATTCCCCTATTTTCCCAGCTGGTATTGGCTGAAAATAATAATAGCAGCCCTTGTCTCTGATAGGCTATAATGAGTAGGGCTGTGGGGAGTACAACACTTTCTAGGGTTAGTATTTGTATCTCCCATCTTGCTAGTCACATCATTCCGTTGTCACTTTGGTACCACGAGTAGGTAACGCTCCGAGCCTAGCCTAGCCCGCCCCGCCCCGTTCCCTAGCCTAGCCCGCTCCGTCCCGTTCCTTAGCAGGCCGCGCCCTGCCCCGCCCCACTCGTAGCCAGCTGCGCACAGCGTGCTGCCCCGTCCCGCCCTGTAGCCGCGCACTGCCTGGTCCCGTTCCGCCCCGCGCTGCCCGCCCCGTGCGCTGCACTCCTCGCGCTGCTCAGCCCGCACTACCCGCCCAGTTTCACGCGGCCCGCCCCGCGTTGCCCGCCTTGCATTGCCTGGCCCGCGATACCCGCCCCGTTCCGCGCTGCCCGTCCTACACTACCCACCCCGTCCCGTCAAGAGCAGCCACGCGCGCTGCCGCACACACGTAGCCGCGCACACGTTAGCCGCACTCACGTAGCTGCACGCGCAGCAGCAGCCACGCACTACCAGCGCCCTGTACAGCAGCAAATGCGTGCGTAGCAAGCAGCCGCGCGTATGCCAGCCGCCAGGCGCACAGTGGCACGCGCACTGCTGCACGCGCACCAACAGCAGCGCACGCGCCTGCCGCCGCCGCACGCGCAACTGTACCTACTGCGCCCACAGCTGCAGCACCCTTCCACGCCCCTCCGGCAGCGCACCTGCTGCCATAGCCATTCCCCGCGGCGGCTGGCCGCCGCAGTCGACCTCCCTAGGGCACGTTAGGGTTAGTGCCTCTCCGTGCCTGGCGTCTCTAGCCCTATCGGTGTGGCAGTCTCGTGACGCGGCTGCTTGCATTGCACTCGGCATCCTTCTCCGCGAGTCTGAGGAGGCTCACTTCACCCAGGTTCGATCCGCCAAGGACATGTTCACTGCGATTAAGACCCATCATTCCACTCCCTCCTCCGCCTCTCTTGGTCGCTTTGCCGTTTTTGTCTCCCGAACTAGGAGCGTTTAACCGCGCTTCTGACCTTCTCACCCACCTGCGCTCGCTCGATGTCAACCACCGTGCTGCTTGCACCAAGGCTGAGCTGCACTACTACCCCTGCCCATGGCGATCACTATTCACTTCATCGTCATTAGCCTCCTTGGCCGCCTTCCCCTGTTTGTGACGTGCTTCTTCGGAGGCACCCTAGTGCGCTCACTATTGATGTCCTTCAGACGGCTCTCAAGGACATCGAGAGCAACATCCACTCCGTTGCCTCCGCATCTGCCGCTGTAGTTCCCCCACTCCTTACTCGTCCGGCCACCGCACCCTTCCAAACCCTCCACTTGGACGTTTGGGCCCTGCCTCTCTCCTTGGGCCCGAGAGGGAGAGCTTTTTTCTGGTGGTCGTTGGCGACTACTTTGGTTACACCACGGTGTCCCTCTTGGCGAAGAAGTCCGACGTGACTTTTACCCTGATCAGGTGGTTGCTGGCCACTGAGGCCACTCGTGATATTCATGTCCGTTCTCCACTTTGACCGTGTGGGTGAGTTTCGCTCCGTCATTCTTCCCAGATTCTATAGCGAGCAGGGCATCACCCAGTCTTGGACGCTTCTGGAGCCCCCACAGCAGAATGGGGTTGTTGAGCACCGCATAGGCTTGGTCATGGAGATCTCCCGCACCTCTATGATCCATGCCCGTGCTCTCCATTTTCTGTGGCCCTGCAGTTTGCTACGCTGCCCACTAGCTGAACCTATGGCCTCGTGTCTCACAGCCAGAGGCTTCACACACCAGACTTGGGACCAGGTCCCATGGTGCTGCATCTGAGTATCATGTCTGGGGTTGCCTTGCACTTGTCCGCGTCACCTCTGCAGACAAGCTCTCAGCTCGCTTTCTCCCTTGTGTCTTCCTTGGTTTCCCGGTGAACACTCTGAACTCCTCGGTAGCACGTCAGGTACCACCCAGTCACCACAACAGCCATCGGCACTATCGTGACAGTTCACAATGGACCCTGGGGGTGTTGGTGTTGGAGGCATGGGCGCTGGAGGTGCTGGTTCAGAGGGTGCTGGCACTGGAGGTGCTAGTTTTGGGGGTGCTAGAGCCGAGGGTGCTGGCGTACGAGGTGCTAGTTCTAGGGGTGCTGGAGTTGGAGGTGCTGGCACTAAAGGTGCTAGTTCTGGGGGTGCTGGATTTGGAGGTGCTGGCACTGGAGGTGCTAGGTTTGGGGTGTTGGAGATGGAGGTGTTAGTGCTGAGGAGACTGGAGGTGTTGGCACTAGAGGCACCGCTACCACGGCACCTACCCCACCTCCCCACCGCTAC